TCGCTCGCAGACATCTGTTGCATCGATAATACTCTTTTCGCCCATCCACAGAACTTTTCATATATGCATACTGTCGGATTTCTTTTGTTTTATCCTCCATCACTGTCAGCAAAGAAGCGTTGTAACGCATACCCCTTTCTTCTAATTTATTCTTTGAAACTTGAATTTTAGAGAGTAATTATATATAATAGCTTTTCAGGTTCAACTCTTCTTAAATCGAAACATTAATATGGGACAGTAAATTTTATCTTTAAGAAAGTGTAGCAGGATTTACCATGATGGTTGATAGTGATTCCGATAACATTGCAACTTTGCTCAAAGTATGTTTGCAGCATTTTCAAAACTAGAAGAAGAAGGAGAAAAGAATATTATTTGCTCATTGATATCGCATAGCTTTATTGCTGAAGATGACCACAAAATGAATCAGTATTGATTGCTAAGGAAATGATTGTCTATTGAAATATTCAAGCATTAATTTTTGATTGATATCAACCTTGAGAATTTAAACCACATGTATTACTTTTATTTAGAATTATTTCAACGGTCATTTTGCAGGACGTTGATAATATGGACGAAAAGTTATTCAAGAGAAAAAAAAACATTGAACCAAGAAAAAGTCTTTCGAATATCGATAATTTGCTCGGTAATCCTCAAAAGGTTTATTTTTTTCTTTGTTTCAACATTGAGAAAATCGTGAGAATCAACCTATACCAGTATTTCTTGTTAAATATCTAGAATCTCTAGAATTAGCAAATCTCTAAAATTACTTAAAAAATTATTTATTTGCAGTTTTTTAGTAAAAAAAGTTAAAAAGACTGTTATGATAAATTTTATCTCTTTTTATCCAACGTTATACGTCATTTCAGGAGAAAAAATCCAAAAAAAAAATTGATGATTTTTTTCCGACGAATAAATCAACCGTTTCATTTATAGATGAATTAAGTGATGCTGAACTTCAGCAGGTTTCTTTGTTTTGATTTTTTCTTTGAAATTATAAAGAGTTTCTCTTCTCCTCTCTATTTTATTATTTTTTATCACTTCTATCACTATCATTGAAATACGCTAATGAATATATTTAAAAAATTTCAGCGAGAGCAAGCAGCAAAATCAAGAAAAAACAAAATGTCGGAGCGCCCAAAGTGAGCACATTTTCATATTTTAAAATACTTACTTTAGTTTATTTTACTGTCTATGTTAACAGACTGCTTTCATCTAACCGCTGATACAACAATATCACGTCAATCTTCGTGATTTTGGCATCACATTGAGACCGCAGAAGGCGTACTCTAGGACATTTTCCAAAGCAGGTTTTTTGATTGGATACGAAAGTGAAAAAATGACTACAACTTCGTTGCAGTATCAAAGATACGCATTTCATTGCGACAACTGGTGATTATTCAACGCAAATCATGAATAGAACAGTTTCTGATTTGGAGAGTGTATTCGGACCAGAATCTAAGTAAGTATTAAGTCTGTTTCGAAGAATTCAATAGCACGTGTTCTAATCGTTGCTGCACTAAAAAAAGAATCATAATCCTAAGGTGAATATTACAGCGCTTGAGTGCTAGGATATTTAAAATATAATTTGATACACCAGATTTAAAATATTGAAAATAAGACATTATGTATTTAATGTTCGTTCAAGACCAGCATACTTACAAGCTGCTTCCCTGTTTTTTCCAAAATGGGTTGACGTTGAATATTAATCTTAGTTAAAAGTTCGTTGCACTTGTTTAAATCCTTGGCTTGCTGGCTTAACAACCTACGTTTAAGCTTAGCTACTTTATTGCTAAGTCCAAAATTAAAGTCTAATGTTGAAACATTTTGGATGCAATAGGTCTCGCATGTAACATTATGAAACATCCATAAATGCGAAACACATGGCCAGAATCATGTGGTAAAATCAGTTCTCACTAAAGAGTAATCAATAATGTACTGATGGATTTTAATTTATTACATCATAAAAAGAATAAAAATACCACAACTTGTTATGAATTAATGAAATTTTAAAATATTGAAAATAAGAAGTCTCTCTATTTCTGATTCGAGATGACAAGTTGAGGCGCAGTATTGGACAAAGTTAGATCCATTACGAAATTTCAATCGAGGAATGATTTAAGTTATAGAATGGATAAATCACACCCTTGAAGGATGCCAATCAAAAAAAAAATAAATAGCATGGCTTATGCCAGTAATGAGCGATCACAGATATCTGACTTGCACAGTTCTGTGGTTGTTTTAGTGTCAGAAAGAGAGCAGGGCTTGCTCAAGTTGTTTGATAAATGGATTATTGAATCAACTTTATTATTAGTTTTTCATAACTGCAACATAAATTAACAAATATGGCAACAGGCGTGGAGATAGCAGTTGGAGAGGAAAAGCCACTGAGAGCAAGACTGATGAAAGTGAACCATTTGACGATCATCCAAGTCGATCTAAATCAACAAAAAGTGAAAAGAATCGGATGACAAACATACTGCTTGAAATTCCTGAATATGATCGCGTACAGCGGTAAAGATGCAATTCAACCGAAATGCTTTTGAGCTTACATTTGAAATAAAGAAATGGGGATGATGGGATAAGTAAATTTGCATGATTCCGGAAATAGTTGTATCTGGCTTTCCCACTGATGTTTATTGATTGCAGAATGGAAAACGAAATTAGCCACCTAAACCGGGAAATAGAATCCTTAAAGCGTAAACAAACGCTGCGAGAAAAAGCATTGGTGGAAGAATGGAGAGAAAAGATGAAAGGCCGAGAACGACAATTTGAAGAAGAATTTGCCGATCTGGAAGAAAATCATCGGTAATTCTTTTGCCATTTAGACTTAGTTTAATACTTGTCAAATTGAACATATGGCGTTATTTGATACTTTAGTCATTTTAAAATTTTGTCCAATACTTTAGCCATTTGATCTCTAAAATTTTGTCCAAATTTGCAGGAAGCAAATGGGTCGTTTAAAAAGTGACCATGAAGAAGTCTCCCAATCTATTCGTGATATGTTCCAAAGCCAAATCGAAATATTAATAAATGGACAAAAAGAATCAAAGTTTTCTTTTTCACTGTAAATCAATGCGATATGCACTTAACTGAAGTCACTGTTTCCAGCACCTTCTCTTCCAGGAATTATGAAGAAATGCTGGAGAAAGTAGATGAATTGGTTGCAAAAATAAGCGAAGTAACAACAAGTTTAAATAAGCAAACGGATAAAAGCAATTCCGATCAGAGCCATTACATTTCATTCAGAGAGCAACAGCTCGGAATTCGAGAAGAAAGGTTAGGGAAAAAAGAATGAGGCGGAAATTGGGGTTTATTCAGGAACAATCAGACGGTGCATTGGTAGGGAAGAAGTCAGTTTGTGTTTCCGTCTCGGTTTCAGGTTATAAAGGATTTAGTAGTGATTAGCCCGGTTATTCGTACCATTTATCTTCAAAAATCAGGAATTAATGAATATAATTAAAATCAATTCAGAATCAAAAAGGAAGAGGAATGGCTGGCAAATGAAAAACAACGTGTGATTGAATTAAATTTGAAACTGCAAAGTTTATACGACAGTAGCGAACAAAATACTCTAAAAGTTGGTGCCTTATTGACATTGTAGTCTAGCATCAAACGCTGGCTCGGTGCAAAGCACATCGAATAAAATAATCCAATCGTCCGATTATCCTCAAGTGATGATGTTCGTCAACAGTGAAGGTCAAAAGTTCTAAATGAACGTTAGAACTAGGAAATCAGAAGCGGATAATTGAAATAAGACTAGTTGCAATTAGTCCTTTTCCATAATAAGATGCTCAAATTCGGATTGCAAAAGATTCAATGTTTACTTCCGGCAATTCCTCAAGTATTTAATTCATTTATGTTGAAGTTTGATGCTAAATTCAGTTGAAACACAATTAAATGATTGAATATAATCTGAAATTCCGAAAACCATTTTTTAGGAAAAGTGGCAAGTACGTGAAGAACGCCAAAAATTGAACGCAGAAAAAGATGCATTTAAAAGTGAACAGCTAAGAATTCTGGATGCGGCGGAACAACAAAAGATCGAGATTGAGGCTTCAAAGGTTGTATCAACTTATATTACTGTCGTCGAAAAGGATAAAATTGCTCTTCAAGCATTTCCTGAGATATACACCAAACTTTTTTTATATTCTCATAAAGGTCTCCCTCCTGTGAAGGTGAAGAAATTATGATCTAAAAATACAACAGCACTATTAAAGTATGCAATTTCAGCGTTCGGCAAATATGATGACGATTTTTGATTTTTTTGCAGACCAACTTTCTCCGTGACCAACATGATCTGATAATGCGCGTAATGGCTGCAAAATCATCATTGGAAGCTGAAAAGAGCGCATTTGATGCGCAACGTCAGCAGGATGTGACAAGGTTGAAAGTGGAAGCCGAAAAACTCGATCATAAATTGAAAGAGGTTGTTGGTCCATTTTTACGTGTCGCGATGAAAGTCACGGAACAAACAGTTGGGAGTATACCCTACTGTTAACTGTTTAAATGATCAGAATTGATTCGTTTTTAGGTGCAAAATGCTGAAGACATTTTACAGAATACACAAAGAATTTATGAACAAAAATACCAACAGGTATTTCTATTTTTATCTTGTTTCAAAATCAAAAGCTATGCTAGGACTCATAATAAATCTTCTTTTCGTTTATTTCCAGCTGGTAGCATTGGAACGATCACTTATAGACGAGTGTTTTGAACTGGAACGATGTCGTAAACAATTGGAAACGATTCAAAATGACACTCGAAAGAAACGCAATCCAAGAAATGAACAATCTCACGTAAGCACTAGGAACAATATACACACCTATATTTCATCATCTACGGCAGATAGGAATTCAGATCCGTCGAATCCAACATATGGAGATCATGTAAATTTTGAGGAAATTCCTTTTTCGTTCTTCCCACATTTGCCATTTTCAAACTGTTTTCAAGAAAAAACCCCGAATAGGCTGGTTTGCAGCAAGTAATACCAATATTGGATACAAGCGGGCCGGACTTCATCACAGACCCGTACATCGATGAAAGGCCCAACCAAAGGTTATCTACCGCTTTCTCAGCCTTAAAAACTCGTAATATTTGGCCCTAAATCTTTTTTTTAGGGAGAAAAAACCTACCATGCAATATTAAAACGCATGTCGAGACAATGGTGAGTGCTGCTTCAGGACAGAGTTTAAATATGCAAGCTTAAATATTGCGATTCATTGCTCTACTGCGCTTCGATAATAGGCAAATGAAATGGTAAAAGAATTTGAAACTGCCTTAATGATACTATTAACGACAACATTAATAAATAGATTTGTTGAACCGCGAAGTGTGAAAAACCGAAGAAACTTGAAACGTTTTATTTCTAAGCTAACAAAACGGTAGCAAATGGGCATATAACTGAATAACGATGTCATTTCTGTAATATGTTGAAGATTGAGATTTATACACACATGGAAAACCGATTGAAAAATACGCTAACAATTCGACATCGAGCTCCAAAATTATCATTCCTAGAAAAAATGAAGAAAAAACATGAAAGTTAAGAGAATTAGCGACAAAACCTGTAGTATTGGGAAACAACAATAATAAAACGAATAAAAAACTGGAAGCATTTTCTGCCTGTTATTTCGACCAGGAAAAAACAGTTTTGGAAATAAAATTCCGCGATATCCAAGAACTTATGTTTCAACTGATCATTCAAGTCACTTCAAAGTATCTAAGCTCACATGACAATTTTGCAATCTTCTGCCCATCTGCACAACTACTGTGATAGCAAGATTGTTGAATGATACAAGAAATGGCGAAATATTTTAAACATCTAGAAACAAATGAACTCATGCAAATTTCAACGGAAATAAAAATTTGGAAAACGGAGATAAATGATTTTAAAAAATGAAGTGAGCTGCTCCTTAACCATATGATTTAAAATGAACAATAGGCATAGAAAAATTAAGGATTGAAGCATATACTTATACGCATTGTTCTGCCAATTCATAATATTTAGTTGCCAGTTTTCCTCGCATCGCTTCAGTTGCTGAAATAGCCGCCTCAGTATACAAATCATATGCTTTCGTTAAGTCCTGCAAGAGGCCATATCCACCTGGAAAGCGCAATAACTATGAACAGCAATGAGCTAACTGATGATGATACTTGACATTAAAATATTTTTATAATGAGCGAGACAGAGAAAGAGGAGGAATAGAAAAGAAGGAATGCTTCAAGCTGAATAAAGTTACCGATACTGAATATAGGATTTACGATCATCAGCCAGAATATGTGAAGTTTTTAAAGCTTTGCAACGAAAATTATCTCCTTAACTATATGATAGAACAGTTCTGAACTTTTGCTTTCTTAATAATATTGTATTTATATGCATACCACTTATATCAAGCTTAAGCACCATCTATATAAAACTACTTATATAAAGCTATGACAACTCGAATGTATACTACGATTTTATTATTAGTTATTGAACATTTTAAAACTTTATTTGAAAGGCTTTCGATACAAAATATTCATGACATAATACACGACACACATTTGTTTTGATAAATGTGCTTAAGCATTCTTTTTTTCTTATTTTTTGAATGATATTTCAATCCGTAGAGAATTTCTTGCTTATTATCTTAGTTCAATTTTTTGGATAAGATCTATCTTGGAATATCCTACTGGCAATCTTAACTACAGTTTGGTGGAGGAAGAAGAAAATGAGCAGCTGATCTGCAATCTTCACGACATTTTAATAGAAAACATGGATAAATAGCTCATCCAACTGGTAATAGGCAAAAAGGAACTAGTTATATAGAACTAGTTTTATAAGAAATGATCCCAATCCGTTTTTTTGAAGCAGAAATTATTAAAGTTATATTTGGAAAGATCTTTCCAAATAAGAAGAGGAAAAAAAAGTTAAGTAAACTTGGATTCAAAGAGATTACATTACACATTCAAAATAGTTAACATCAAGAAGTTAATGAATTTACATACCCTCTTTATACATAACTGCCATTCGCTCCAGCAACTCGTAACGAGGACGGACACCTTCGTGAGGTGTTTCGTTTTCGTTTGTTTTTGCACTTTGAAGAAAATTTAAAGCTTTTTCATACCAAGCAACAGCTTTTGGCCACGAGGGCTCTCTGAAAAATTCTCATATAGCATTTAAATGCTCGATGATTTTTTTTCCCCTCCTGTCAACGTAAAAAATAACAGAAAAGATAGAGAAAAAATATTTCATTGTTTTGACTTGGATAATCAAACTTTTACGAGACCATAAAGGCGTGAACAGTAAATTCCATGAGATAGACTGAAATTAATATTTCAATAACAACTTCAATGGCCCCAGAAAACGACCCGTTTCATATGCCTGCGCAACGAAAATGACAGCGGATTGATCACCCATATCTGCAGCACATTCCATAAGCTCGAAGCCAATCCCTTCCAGATCATCATCTTTCCATACTTCTTCACAAGCTACTTCTTTCAGCAGCTCATGAGATTGACCTAAATACAACAACAAAAATGGCATTAAAACCAATCTTTCACTAAATAAAAATGTGATAAATATAAAAAAGAACCAAAAGCCATTTTAGCCATGGTAATTATAGCTTCAAGAACACCACAGCGTCGAGCAATGTCAAGATGATAAAAAGCTGCATCTTTGTCGTACTCAATATAATTTTCTGAAATCAACTGAAATTCTTATCACGAAATGTTTTTCTTATTGCGTTAGCAACATTCGATAGATTATTGAAATTTTTTATCATTTCCATTTTGATATTAACTTTTCCAAGTGAAGAAAAAATGCAAGAGTTTATAGACACAAAACATTTAGCACCTTTATTCTTTTTTTCATAATCTTCCGTTGAATAAACGTTCTCCTTCTCGGAACAAACAAAGGCCGATTTCTTAACAAATTGTCCCAATTCATGATAACGTGCCAGATCCAGATGTATCTGAAGCAACATAACAAAGGAAATGATAAGCGCAAATTTTCAACAAGAACTTAAGATACCAACCAGCAAGCTATTCACTCACCACAAAGCTAGTTTTCCTGACATCTATATACTAACTCGATAGAAAACCCTAAATGTTGCATATCATTTTCCGACTACAAGTAAATTTAGGGTTTGAAGTTGGTATACAAAAAAAATATTGAATTTGCGAAGTTACCTGGCCAAGGATGCAATTCGTACCATGAATTTTTTGCGAGAATTCCGAAAGTTCTTTGATTTGTGATTCCGATAAAAGCCCTGCTGGTCGTGAAAACTTGCGTCTTTCACACCAGTATGCTTCTCTTTCTGCTTCCTGAGTAATACGCTGCAGGCAAACTTAAACTAACTTAATCCCAACTTAATTTAACAGAATTATTACAGCATATTATGATTTACTAAACTTACTCGAGTCATTTTCGAACTGCAGCTACTCAAACTCCCGAATTGAGGATCGTGATATGTTCGTTCTTTCACCTAAAGTTCCATTGTTCAATTCTTCAGCAGTTCAAACATATCAAGCATTTTCCCATCCACCATGTTTTTTTTATTTGTATATTTTAAATTTGAATTTTCGATAAAGTCAGACAAAACATGAAAACAAGGCATTCATTCTTTCCAAAAAACATTCTTCCACAATAACTTTATACCTCGTTATCAGCTGAATCGAATAAATTTGAGGAACATAAACTGGTGAATCGTGTTTTAGCTACGGGCTTATCAGAGTCATGCACAACTTGCTCAAAACAATCGTTAGAAAATCGCATATCAGAATACTGCGTATCATTGCTAACTTCATCACAAAACGATGATGCTGTAAAAAATAAAGTCACTATTAGGATTTCTATTTTCATATATTATAACAAAACATTACATGACATTATATCAGGATCTTCATATCAGAACGCCACAGAGGACCGGTAAAATCTAAACGCTCAGACATAGCTGGATATATATAAATTCTGCATAAGCCCAAATGATATTATGTCATTGTTGAAAAAATAAAAATTTCTGCAACTGAAACAGTTACGTAATTATGTAGAATCCTAAAAGGATAGGATATGAAACTAAAAATAGGCAATTGCATCTCAGTATTACCGTTCGTTGTCCTACCTTTAACTATTATAATGATTTCATATGAAAGCTATTCCCCGAACCATTTCTTGCACGAAGGAGGACGTCTTCTAACCTAAGCACAAACAATATATTTACCCGAAGAACGTCTTCCCGAGCTATTCGCTGATACTGTTCTGCGTCGCAGTTCTTCCATAGCATCTCCTCTTTCTTCAACCAGAGATGAACAAATGCTTGCTGGTCTATTACTACTACTTCTGGTCAGTGAATTCCAATTCTAAAAAATTTTAAATTCTATTAGTTGCTGTCGAGATCATACTACAACAAAAGAGTCTAATTATAAGTCAGTTGTATTGAAGGGAAAATATCAAGGATCTTTATATTAAATATATAAAGATTCTTGGATTTCAATATTTCGTAGACAAAGTTGGTTACCACTCTCTTTATCAATCTAATTTTCAGATCCTTCGTAAAAATCAAAGTATTTACCCTTTCGACATTACCACCTTCCTTAAGGGCGTTTCTTTCGCTTTCAGAAAGATCGAACTCAGTCAAGCACATTGATTGACAAATGTCATTGCACAAATGGGAATGAAAAAATAATGCCATACCCTTCGTACCAAGATTTCCACTACCATAGCCTTCTCCAGTTGCCTGAATTTCCTTAGTGAAGTATGTAACAACACTGTCATGTTTAACGTATAAAAGCACAAAATTGGAACTGGACTAAAATTAAATTTTTTGCAAACTAATTGGGATTCATAAAGCTCCCAATCTAGTAATAACACCATCAGTTGAAATCCTTTCGGGTTTTTGAGATGTATATCATAAACATAGGACTAAACACCACAAACATCATTTCTTATCAATCTACTCTGATTCAAAAGAAAAAATGAAATGGACAAATGCATTGACAATTTTACGAGATACAAGAGGCGTACGGTATGTATTTGTGGATCGGTGTACAAATCTCCCACTCCTTGAACATCAACAACAATCAACTGATGTCCACTTCGTTCAAATGTAAAGTGACTGAAGGCCTGCAAATGTGACAATATCAAAAGTCAGCATTATATAGTCATTAATTTCTCTTATTTCAAAAATAATTCTTAACTAAAACACATAACTAGCATATCTGTGATGACTAACCTGAGGCGTCTTGCGACAAACATCTGATACAAAGCCAGAGTTGGAGTTGTACTTAATATATTTACCCTCTATGTAACGCTCAAGATGATAAAATGCATGTTCATCTTCATCAAGAAATTCCAAAATGCATACTTGAAAAATGTCAATCTAAAAAGAGTTTTCGTATAAAAATTTACCCTTACTCAGATATTTAGAATAATAGATCCTGTTCTTGCTAAATCAATTGCAAACGTTCAGTTATCTTAATTAAAACAAACTAATAACGATAGAATTACTTTTTTAGGTGGACGATGACGATTGAATTCTTCAGCCCAAAGCTTGCTATCCATTTGCAACTTCACATCTTCGAACAACACCTGTAATAGTGGATGTCTATTTCGCTACTTAAAGCCTAAACATTTGCCAATAAAAATCTGTTGAAATGATAGCCATAATCCGAGAAAAAATATCATATGACATTATGCTGTCCAACTAAACTAAATCAAAAATGACAAACATCTTTATCAACACATCTTATGTATTTTTTGGCAACATAGTTCTGTGCATGGTCCCAACCATCATTTTTACCACGCGATCCGAGTTTTTTCAATCGATAACATTCGCGCATTGCGCCTCGAGCGAAAGGCTTCAAATAATAATGATTAGTCAAGTAAATGTGCTCAACTTTCGAATCAGTGGAAAAAAAGCATGCGTTATAAAAGATTCCGCTTTTAAGTAACTGCTAAATGATTACTAAGGAGACCATTTAAGAACATTTTCTTTAACTGATGTTTTTGGCACGCAGATGTTTACAATCTACTTTAACTTAGCAGATGAAATCAGCAATGTTTCAAAATAACCCTACGGTAATGTAAACTGCTATATAATTTATCAAATGAGACTAAAAAAAAAATAAAATTACAACACCTCTGGATGCAATTTCACTTGCACATCATCGACAGTCCAGCACTGCTGTATACATGAATAACGGTGACGTTTACACTCCCTCACAGGTAATTTATCGAAATGGAATTTTACCCAGGGATCATCCGGATGCTTCACACACCTGATAAAAGCAAAAAAGACGTTAAAAAAGAAACGCTATCAATTGTACAAGAAAATCACTGCTAGGAAGACTTGAGGTTGAAATGTCTTAAGTTACGTGGCGCATGCAACAATTATAAAAAACAGGTTGGCATGGACATAATGCAAAAAGCACAAAATACCATGACGCAAGCTGCTGCCATCGATGTATTAATTCTCGATTTCCTGAGGATGAATGAGATGAATGTTGTTCACGTCCGAAATGCTGATAATTTCTATTATCTAAAGAATCCAACTGACCAAACTTCTCCTGTTCTCCTGACTCCTAAAATCACAACCATATGAGCAACACACTGACATCAACATCTGTCAAGTATTGCTTACGTTTACAGAAATGTCACAGAGAGGTTCGAGCAACTGCCATTCTGCTGAATCGTCCAAATGTTCGCTTTCAGCACTATCGTCCTGCAATAATCAGACAAGCTATACTAAAGGAAGATCTTAGTTAGGATGTAAAAACGCATGAACCATAACAAACAGTTTATTAGTAAATAAAATAAAATTTCAGCAAAGCTGGCTTAATCAAAAGTGCATTCAGCGTCGACAAAATCAAACGCATACATATTTCATGAAAACAAAACCACTGAGAGGGAATTTCGAGATATATTGAATTGGAGTCTTTGCTAGCGAATCCTACATATTTCAAGCTAGAAATTTTAAAATCATGAACCATGAAAGAGAAATCTTATATAGCAAATAGTAAAACAGAAAACAAATCTATAACACCCTACCTATGTGTTCCACCTATTCATCTATCCATCTATCTATCTACCTAATCTATTGATCTATCTAATAAAATCTAATTTAATCTATATATATATATATATAAAACTATTCTTACCACAAAATCCATAGTACCTGTATTGGTGAAGTAGAGCCAACATATTTCCCGTAATTTTCAATTGAATCCATAAAAAATTACTCAATAAAATCAATCATCTAACTTCCTTTCCATTCCTGCAATAAAAAAAATCGTAAGATTGTAACGGAACACTGGAACTGGAAAACGAGAACTTTCCATAGAAAATTGTGCTCATGATAGTGCATTACAACAGTTATAATTTCAGTTCAATAATTCAATATAAACGAATTCTCCAAGCGCCACAAATATCTTAGAAGTCTAGGTCCAGCGTACCATGCCTTGGATCTTCCTCCAGCTTCCCCACACTCACTACCTACCTTGGCTTACCAACATCTGCCGAGCCTTTAGCTTGATGCTGTGGATGACGATGGTACACCATTTACGTCGACACAGCCACAACAAGTACAAACCTAAGCTTCCTACAAAAGTCGGAATACAGCTGCAAACATCTTAAACGATCCACGGAGCAAACGGAATTTCACACCGCCTTACGTTAACACGGAATGAACTTCGCTGAGTACGACAGCGCTAGGATGTGTTCCACAATATTTTTTATAACCGTTGGAGAACGGACTATTTTGAGACTCCGGAGCCAGTCATTTCACGACATCATTTCACCACATTTCACCACCAGTCATTTCACGAAAATTGTTATTTTCACCTTTTATTCTTACGGCAATTGGAGAATTATCGTCAGAATAAAAGGTGGAAATAATTTTAAAACTGACTCAAAGCAGCTTCATCGCCATTGCCACCCTCCAGGAACATAAGTACCCAACGAAAACATCTTTTATCGAAAAAAGCAATGAAAACCAATTTATTAGTAGTAATACCAAGAAAATACATTATGTACGTGGTAATCAATCACTCGGCAATACTTCTCATTATTCTTTCACACATCACCCCACGAAAAAACCAAAGGAAAGCTTTCTTCTACAAAAACCGTTCAGATAGAAGGATTATTGAGCAGCGAAATCCAACGCGAAAAGGAAATGAGAGGACAAAATCGGTGATATCTCTAAATACACAAATATCAACATATCAACATCACAAGTCTGCACTTTTAATATCACTCATGCAATATGACAAAAAAAGAACAGTATGAGTTTTGCTTCTTACTGAACGCTAAACAAAACGTTAATACCAACACATACTGCTTTGAAGACTACATAATAGAAACAGAATTTCAAACATTTTGTATAGCTTTAACAAATAAAACGTTTAAATCACGAATGATCCTAGTATAGATTCAATGAGTTCCAGGAGCAAGTGTAAGTGATCCTTAATATTGTACTGTCAAAAGCTAATTTAACGTTTTTATAGTTAACGTATCCGTTTTATTTCGACTTTTGGAATATTGTAGAATTTTTTGAAAAAGTCGACAAACGCTATCCAAACTTCGCTTTCGACATCTGAAAAAACTAACGAAAAGCACCATAAAGTGGGTCTAGCATTTCTAATCTACAAATAATCTAAAGTTGAGAAATAAAAATTATGTGTTAAAAATACAAATAAATAAATAAATAAATATGTATATATACACATACGGAAATTGAAAAATAATGGGTGCTTTCCCAGACATTATGCATCCATCAACAAACAGATCTTCATAAACAAACAGGGAAATATATCACAAGTTTCTGTAGAGTAAAAATCCTGCTAAAGCAGCTATTGCAGCACCGACAGTGATTGTGGATAATAAATACGAATCTTGAAGATAATACACTCGTTTCAGATGCCTGAAAAGTCAAAAATCGTTAAAATATGCATTTATTGTTTGCAGAGAAATCTTTTCAGCCTTATTATCAAAATAGCCAAGTTCCAACTTTTCCATTTTCCTGATGATACGAAAGTCTTTACCTAATACTTTAAATTTCGATCCTTTCCATAAGAAAACGTTAATTCCAATAGATTGCTCAGAATGAATCAACTCTTACAAAATCAATCAACATTTGGCGTCAAAACGTTGCTACGCACTATAAATGAAATGTTTCACATACGGATAAACAGCCATCATTGCCAATTGCAAGAAAATGGAATTATTAGTTTTGCCAGTATCATTAAGTCGAAATCGAAATGGCTGAGGTAATGAATGTGTGCGACAAAAATCGCTTGGTTGCTGTTCATATTTTTGTTCCACCTCACATAACTCCGATCTTGTAGCCACAATCACACACGGCACTTTCGTACGATAGAAATATTTCTGAAATGATTCAAACCTATTAAATTTGCGGCAAGAATTTCAAGCAATCATTTAATGCATAACATACACGTGGAGTAATATTTCATGGTCACCATAGCAAATACTTTCCAAAACGAGAACAAAAATCTGATATCTTTATATAGAAAATAGATGTGAATGGAAGATAAACAATAAATCAAACTCGGAGGAACAATTGGTTTTTCTACGTTCTAACTGCAAATATATATCCATCCCTGAAATATTCTCACCAGATAAATAGACGCGCAATACGCAAACGAATCAGGATTAGTAATGTCATATAAGAGAACAATAACATCAGCACTTTTCTCATAGGTTGTCAGCGCTTCATCGGGTGAAAGTACATCAACTTCGTGAAGCTAAAAATTTTCCTTATTTTGGTAAAAAAGAGCTCTAGAAATTTATGACAAATTTTCCTCAAACACTTATTTTCACAAAACGATCATCAATACTGCCCAATCACTCAGTATAGTCTATCTCTCTATTGAGGAGTTAACGCATGTCAGATACAACTTACATGTACCTTCTGAAAGAATTGACAACGCCAGTCTTAACTGCCCCAATTTCTATCGAACGCTAATTTTATTTTATTATGGAATTATAAAAGAAATTTTGTGTTAATTTTATTCTTTTATAGAATTATAAAGGAAATTCTTGTAATACTTTTCTAAAACACTATGAGATGGAAGTATTTCTTACCAAGAGATATTTCGTACTTTGTTTTACTTTCACACTGTTCAAAACGTAGGGTGAAATCGATTTCTTTCCCATTGCCGCCACATCCTACATTGGTTTTGCTTCAGCAAATCATAAACTAATTCAAGCATGAATGTAATGACTTAATTTTCAGTGCAACTTTCATCATACTTATCCTATCACGTACCCATGCGACCAATGTGAAGCTACTATTCTCTAGTTTTAATTTGTCCACCCAAACTTCGCCCAAAAATAATAAACCATGATTCCACCCACTTATTCCTAACTTGTGACGCTACCCATTTGATCCTAATTTTTACTATTCTGGAGACAAGGTAGTTAGGTCGGAAATTGTACAAAGTCGTGAGATACTAGAAGTTCCTCTTCTGAAAACCCTTTCAAGATCATTAATAAGAAAGATAACAAACCATAAGATTACGACCCGCGAAGGATTGTAGAAAAATCGTTTTACCGGCGCCTTTGGGGCCAATAACATGACACTGAAATACCTCTCTTGTTGTGAATCTCTCAGCAATATCAATTCGCCTTTCGCGAGTTACCTGAACAGGATAAAGCAAAATTTTCTCCACGTCAATTTTCAATATTTTCCTTATTCAGGTAATATGGATGTTACAAATGAGAGAAATGAACAAAACAGTTAAGGAACACTTGGTACTTATTATGAGTTTCACTGAAAAATTTCCATGCACGAACTTCTAGTTTCACTATCGTCATGACATATCAGGTATAGCACGGAATAATGAAATAATAAGGGTAATTATGTCTCTTCAAACATACCTTAATAGCATCTAATTGAGATTCGTGCTGTATACTGAAACCGAGATAAGCCAACAACTCCATTGTCAACGAAACATTCAAGAATGTTGTCAAACTAAGAAAGAGACAAGATTATCAATAAAAAATTTATGGATTATTTTCACAAGTTCAATAGAAAATAGAATTTCATCAAATTTCATACAGAAATGTTGTCTGTAACAAAAATTTTACACATTACATCCAATAAGCCACATATCCATTATAAGTTATCCATCCCTTATGATTTGTCTCCACTGCAGAATTAGCTTCTTTATTCCACACTTGCGATGAACAAACACTGAATAGATTCTGTAGTTCCACAGGAGATAAGCAGCCATCCTTATCCTGAAATTTTTTATCCACAACTTTCGAAAAAACTCACTATTATAGCTTCTGAGCCATTCTGCTAATCGACCAATTGTTTAAGATATTGGTAGTTCGGCCTATTTGATCCTGACAGCCTAACACATAATAGCGTTCCCTTAGGTTGCTAGAAGAATTTTGGAATACATATCATTTTCGCTCCACCTCCATTACTGCATAACTTGGACATCTATATCTGGTTGTATGAATTATCAAAATGGATATTTCACGGGCTGAATTTCTTTCATACGAATTTTGACTTTATTCTTCACTCTTCCCACCGGAAACTCATTGCTTTGCCATGAACAACAAACCTCATCAAATTTTCGAAACAAAGCAGTGATGAACTGAAAGCCTTCCTGAGTCAGCTCCGTAGAGCTACCCTTTGGTACCTTCAGCCTGAAAACACTACAGAAGTATTGAAAAACACATTTAACCGTTCAATACTTATGTTCCTCAAAGACCAATATTAGCAGCATGTTCATATTTAAAAGCGCATACGAAGGTTGTATATAATCAGCTGCAAGTTCTAGTTCATTGTCATATCCGAATCGCCTCAGTACTCTCCATGTTGTTTCATGTCGCCCACGATGAATGAAAAGCTGATGGAGGTAGATAAAGCCTAAATATCTCAAATATGAGCAACGAAGTTTGGTTAGTCAATAAAAAAACCGCTAGTTTAGTGAGCACTGCGACGAAAAAAAATATTAGCAAACCAGGAAGAGCAATAGCGTCATCGATCACACCGTCCTTCGTATTTATTCGTACAGCTGTTTTCACATCCTTGAAAAAAAAGCATATTTTTGTCTCCGGTCTAACAAATCTTGAACGAATCAACATTTTCTTAACATTGACTTTTCAAACAAATATTTTACCTTCCATATAGGCAAAGAAATTAAGAACTTTCTTCTAGCCTAGACGTATATGAAATTTAAAATAGAAGCGAGTTAGTAC